TTTTGTTTTCACCACAACGGGATGGATGAAAACAGAGGCCCACTGCTAAATCTATTTCCTCAACTGAGAAAACCCCACAAATGATCAAATACAGAGCGTGTTACTGTCTGCAACAGACATCAAAAAGAGAGCTAAAACTTTTTTAACGCCTCTTCCTTTTCTCAGACTCTGGCCACATAAATTGTGCGGTTTTGACCAGTATGGATTAGCCAGGCAGGGTGGAGTTACCACAAATATGGCAACGTGTACAGAGAGAGACAAATGCGCTTACCGACGCCCATGCACAGAAACGCGTACTGGCACATCTATAGTTCTCGTTCTGCAGCACATAGGGATTTCCCTGCATCTTCCAGGCTGTTTTGTTTCATTCAGTATTCTGATTTCTCCTCTGAAATGCAGTTGTGGGAAAATCCCTCACATTGCCTGTCTGACAGGAGTCTTCTCGTGATGTACAGGAAAAACCATAGCGTGAGTGACCGAGGTCGACACCGTGGTGTACAAGAGAGAACTAATTTTGCCCTTTTAACGTACAGAAAGGAACTTTCCCGTACTGGTAACTCCAGGATTTTAAAACAAAGGAGTGCGGGACAGTTTCCGTAGCTGCCCATCAGCCGAGGTGCAGACACACGCAGTTCACAGTGTTTCCAGCGTCCCTTCGTCACCTAGGCAACTGCACAATTCACCCACCCCCTGCCTATCCTGAAGCAAAGGAGGCCCTAACCCCAGGGTCTCTCCACCCCGAAAGTCAGGTCAGGCAACAGATTGAGAATTGTAGGCAGGTCCTTAGCTGCCAGCAGCCATGTCACCCTGCAACTTACAATTGGCAACCCACTGAAGCTCAGCAGGTGTGAGCCTGGTCAGTACCTGGATGAGAGACCTGGGAAAAACTAAGGTTGCTGCTGGAAGAGGTGTCAGTGAGGCCAGCAGGGGGCGCACACCTTGTGGTCCATGTAGGTCCTAATGCCCCAGTATAGTGACGGGGACACTATACTGTAAACAAGTGCCGTCTTTCGGATGAGACGTAAAACCGAGGTCCTGACTCTCTGTGGTCATTAAACATCCCAGGGTGTTTCTCGAAAAGAGTAGAGGTGTAACCCTGGCATCCTGGCCAAATTTCCCATGCCTCCTAATAATCCCCCTCTGTGAATTGGCTACATTACTTTGTTCTCCTCCCCCCGGTACATCACCAGAGCGACGCGTCGGTTGGAAGTATTCTCGGTCGCAATGGCAACGTCAGCTCAAAGATTTGATTCAAGCCACCAAATAGAGATGGGCATGCCGACAAGTGGACCCTGCTGATGTGGAATAACTCTAAGATGAGAGGCAGGTCCTTAGCTCATCCCGCAGATGACGCAGAAATTGTAAAAACATACTTTTTCTGGATCCATGCAGCCCATCCTGCCCAGCCAGATGTGACTGCACTCTTCACTCGGAGAGAGTTCGGCCCACACCAACTGTCAACAGTTTCAGCAAATCAAACCCAGACAAAACAGAGATCCTACGGCTGAACTCTCAGCACAAACTACCGGATCAGTCTAATGGAAGCTCAGCTACCCTGTGCTTTGTGGGAAGAAGCTGGGTTAGTTGGTGATCCATTTTATTTTGCTTTGTAAGTCTGCAGTCTATAATCCAAGAAGCTCAGGACTTGACTGGACAGGAAGAGGGCTGTATTGCTGGTTTGGTCCTAAGCACTGGAGTTCTTCACTTGCTCGTTTTCTTTCTTCTTTGACAAAAGTCTCAAAAGGCTGTGAGACGTTCACAGTGCCCATCCCTTAACCCTGAAATTGTAAACTGATTGGTTGTACCAAGACAGCTTTTTCTGGACTCTTGACCTTTAACCCCTTGTTCTGGAGCTCAATCTCAATTTACAGCAAGAAATGCAGCAATTCTACATTCTTTTGAACTTGAATATCTTTGCAGTGCCTTCCACTTGCTTTATGTTTATGTTTTGAGTCCACACTGTGAACAGGGGGCACTTCTTTACACAAAGTGTTGTGGGAGTCTGGCACAAGCTACCTGGCTATGTTGTTGAAGCTCAGTTATTATTATGTGCTTAGCAGACTCCCTTCTCCAGGTGACTTGCAGTATACCCTGTTACCCTGTCACAAGTACATAAGATCCTTAGAAAAATTACTTTCTGAAAAAACCAGACAGGAGACCAAGCCTGAGTGGCATCTCGTTTGCAGCTTTATGTTCTGCAAAGCATTCAGCATTCTAAGGTACTTGTTATGGGTCTAGATAGTATATATTGGTGAACAAACTGGTTACAATTACTGGTGTACATGCATTGTGTAATACTGTAGAACTGTCAAGTTATGATAGAGGTAAACAAATACATGTCTAATGAAACATTGACTCAGACTAGAAGTACCTCTTGCAGCTACACACAGACACAATTGAGTACACGAAGACTAGCTTGTATGTCCAATGATGTTGGAAATGATTTTGCTCATTTGGATCAAGATGATCAAAATGGTGCAGTAGTGTTCCTGTCTGACTGGTCTGCTGTGCACCAGTGCCAGTCTGAGCAGTGATGCTGTTTAGACAGTGTGCTTAGCTGCGACAATCTGACAATCATACAAGATTTACCTCAATTCAAACAATTTACAAAGATTAATAAAAATAAACTTGACATCGTATACACGTTTTCTATTGCAGTATAACATTTTTTAATTACAACTGATACACCCATATACATTTCAACATATATATATACTGTGTGATTTCAGATTTTAGATACTGATTAGTTCCATTATTGTACTCCAATTACCAGTAGAAATACAATGTTTTTATATTAATATAAAGCTCTTTCAGTGAAGTAGCAGCATCCTACTGGCATGAGCAGGAGTCAAGAGGAAGTCTTGGCCATGAGAACAGGGTACAGAACAGTCACAGAGGAATCTGGCGTCTATCCGGAGGGCAGGTGGACGATCAGCCACCATTAATCTGAAAGGGGTAAGAAAAGAAGAGGGTTTAGGTGATCGCACTTAAGAAGTGCTGAAGGTTACACTATGGTGTGGTATTAACCTACACCACTAGGGGGCATATTTCCTGGAACAAAACCTTTTGCATTAAAGTAGTTCAGGTGGGTAGCTGTGTCAGCATGCGTAGGCTGCAAAGGAACAAGTAATAGGTTTATTCCATGCTGAAAAAAGAAGAAAGAAAACACAACGTCTTGGCCGTGGAGCCTTCTTCAGGTGTGAGCCCTGTCTTTCTCACACCTGAATAAACCTATTACTTGTTCTTTTACAATAAATCTGTTTTCATGTAAATGTGGTACTTCCCGTGTACAGGGAGCCCTACAGAAGCTTGGTCGCTGTCAGAAATGCGAACTGCAGCCCTGTCCTCCACACTGGTGTCAGGAGTTACTGAATAACAATGACTGAGCTGAAGTGTTACACTGTCACAACACTTTCCCACATGTCGTCCCAACGTTGTGATTAGGTTGTCTGTTCATATTCCACCACTGGGACTCCCCAGTGCAGGTCCTCCTGACCCTAGGATATGCTCTCCCCAGCATGGTGGTTTTACTCACTGGTGGATGCCGCCGTTGCCGAGGGTGTCGTGCTGCAAGTGAACTTGCTGTCGGCGTCCGTGCCTCTCGAAGTGTAAGGCACAAAGCCAGGAGTGGCCGACCCAACCTGTTCGGAAATCCAGTCCTGGTACTGGGACACCCTAGTGTACACCCCGGGGAGGTTGGGACGGACACAGCCCTCTCCGACACTCACTACGCCAGCTTGGACCCAGAAGAAGTCCTGCTTGCAGACCAGGGGCCCCCCCGATTCTCCCTGTCCAGAGAAATGGAGACACAGCGCCGTCAGCAAAGAGGCTGAAGTGCGCTGCCGGTAATCATCAGTGAGCGAGGAGCAGGTGAGGACAGAGATGAAAGAGGAGGACAAGCAATTGCATGACAATTTACATGACAGGTGGCTGCCTGCAGCGCTCCGGCACAGATCATGTTGGCAGTGACGCTGTTCGCTCCGAGCGCCACATCGTTCAGGCACCCGCACTGCCTGTTCCCAATGACGGGCAGCTGCACGTCCTGCAGGTTCTGGTTCCCTGGGAAGGGCAAGACAAGACCTGTTGTTCACTCTTGCAAAACCCCCGTCCCGACACTTCCACAGGGGTTTGCACCCTTGCACCCTTTGTAAAAGAACCCAGGCTCATGTGTCTCCTGACTTATTCATGACGTTGAGGAATCTTAAAGAAGTCTCATGGATCACCAGCAGTGCGTGTGC